GGAGTGTCCTAAATGTCCAACAGTAGGGATTGGCTGAATATAGAAGGACCTCTAAAGTCAATATACTGAACAGTCACGCAAAATAATGCTACTGAAGTGTTTTTATTGATATGGAAAACTGCTCACATTCAATGAAAAGAGCAGGTTATAAAATGGTGTGAAGATATGATCCAGGTGAAAGTTCATACATATGGGGAAGGGATAGAAAAGTAAAGGGAAAGACATTAGACCAAGTAGTAAATGATGGATGGGCCTGTGAATATTTTCACACTGTTTTTGCTTGTACCTCTTATGATTTTCCTATAATGAAAATTACTTTTATAATAAAAATATAATAAAAAGAAACATCACAGAAAGGAAAAGGAGGTTCTACTGTCCTTAAGGAGGAATTATGATGGACCTATTTTAGTTTGTTAGAGTTCTCATAGCAAAATACCACAAACTGAGTGGTTTAATCAACAGAAATATATCTTGTCACAGTTCTGGAGACTGGGAGTCCAGAGTCAAGGTGCTGGCAGCTTTGGTTCCCTCTGAGGGTGTGAGGGAGAATCTGTTCCAAGACCTCTCCATAGCATCTGGCAGTTTGCTGGCAATCGGTGACGTCCCTTGGCTTCTGTTCTATCACTTCAATCTCTGCCTTCCTCTCCACAGGCTGTTCTCCCAGTGTGTGTGTGTGTGTGTGTGTGTGTGTGTGTGTGTGTGTGTGTGTCTATATCCTAAGTTCTCCTTATTATAAGGACATTAGACATATTGGATCTGGGCCCATTCTATTCCAGTAGGACTTCATCTTACTTAGATTTGCAATGTCCCTGTTTTCAAATACGGCCACATCTGAGGTATTGGGGGTTAGGACTTCAACATATAGATTTGGGGAGTAGTGGGGGGGACACAATTCAACCAGCAATAGTACCCCAATGAAATAGCCACACTGCTTCTACCCAACTGAAAGTACTGCTTACCTGCCATGTCAGTCTGTGCCAGCTGCTGTATACATAGTACGAGCATGGGCCAAGACCAGGAGTTGAGGGGGGGGGGAGGGGGGACACTGACATCCCTGCTCAATTTTCCTGGAAACCTAAAACTACTCTTAAAAAAATTAAGTCTATTAATTTAAAAATGAAAACCAAAAAATGTTACAAATAATGAAATTTGCAAGGGATCACACAGTCAGCTACCCAAAAGGGGCCTTTGGCAGATAAAAGTTTGGGAAACTGCAAGAGTTAGCCCTTTTTCAAAGGTAGTTGAGAGGATACAGATGACCAAAGTGTGACCCAGTGGGATCTCCAGGATTCAAACAACCCTGGCTGCTCACACCTATCTCAGACTCAACAAAGCCCTTCTAATGGAGCTTTAAGGAGGTGGGGAATGGGGGAGGGGAAGGAGAACCAAATTCTTATTCAAAGAAATAACAATTTGGAACGTGCACAAGAGTGTCAACAAGTTATGTAGATCTTATCAGCATCGCATTTTTGGTGCCTCCCAGCTATCCAGCGAGGCTCAGCCAGCCTGTCAACACCCTTCAGCATCCCACGCAAGACGGGCATATCAACACCTCGGGAGGCTCTGCTGTGGCCAGGCCTGCCTCTCCAGGGCCCCAAAGAGTGCACGTTTTCTCTCTCCTCACAGAATACCATCGTACCATCCCCTTTGTATGCATGAGTGTCTTGGGCCCGTTTCTCTGCTCACATCCTGTGACTTGGTTGGGGATAGCTATAAAATGGAACAATACCTTTATGCTAACTTTGGAAAGAGTACCTAACTTGGGAAAATCTGACGTTGCATTGTCTGAAGGAAGGGAATGTGTAGTTTCAGTAATGTGAGGAGAAAATGTTATTATAGTCAAAATATAATACATTATATTTATATATGTATTTATATATGTGTATATATATATTTATATGTCAAACTATAATAGGCTTATACTAGGTGCTTCTACATTTGCAGATAAAAACTTTGTGATTTTACAAAATTATGGATGGGGGCTAAGGCATGAAACTTTGGAGATTCTCCTCCCCACCTCCTCCCACTTCGCCACAGAAATAAGGCCCTCGTAGCATACAATTGCTTCGTGATAATACAGCCTTTCAAATGTAATTTTGCTAAATGATGCAAAAAAAGCATTTATTTAGACCAGTGAAAATGATAGTCCTTACTATACATCTCAGCCTTCTTTTACAATTACCTGTTTATTAATATTAAAGTCAATGAATGGATCTCCTTGTTTGTGTGTTTGTTTTCACTTTTAGGCAGCTTTAAGTGCCTTGAAACAATTTTCTGAACAAGGACTGGACCCAATGGAAGGGGCAATGAATATTGAAAAAGGTTCTCTTGAAAAGTGAGTAAATCTTCTGCTATATTCTTACATTTCTAATTTTGCAATTGTGCAAAAAAAATAAGATATAGGTAACAATAAGGTAAAAAAAAAACCCTCAAGACAATAATATCTGTATCTTACAAAATTATTCATATTACAGTTCAGTGTAAATAAACAAGAAATGATATATATATATGGTCATTTTCATTTCCTCTAGTACATATGTGAAAGTTTTAATCTACTAATTGATCATTTTTTTCTCCATTTCAATGCCTTTGTTGGAAATATTTCTGTGAGTTTTATTGACTATAGAGACTTGCACAACTTGTAAAATACTGTTTTTACTTCATACTGTTGAGGTTTCTTCTGTCTAAACCTTTTCTGACATACAAACTTGCGCTCACACTCCTGCTAAGTTGTGGGCGCAAGAGAGAGAAAAGAAAAAGAAGTCCAGAAGAGGTATCCCCTCCCCTTGACCGCATTTTGTTTTCCACGTTGTTCTAGAAACACAAGCACCCGTTGCCACAAAAGTGTGGCTCCCAAGGACTGCAAAGGCAAGAATGTAGCTGTAGCAAGAATTTCTGAAATCGAGTGCATAGTTTTTTTTTTTATGATATCGAATGTCAGGTCTCACCTGAGCGACTGAATTTTAGGTCTCTCCAGAGGCCCAATTTATACTAAAGAAATTGAAAGCAATTGCATTTACATAGAGGAATCCGAATTCTTTCCAAGCCCTAAAAATCGCAGGTGAGATTTCAAAAGGCCCATAGGAGATAATGTTTTTTAGAATGAAAACAAACCGATAACCCAGGAAGTGAAAAACAGATACATTGATCCTCCGGTTAAATAAGCATAGCCCCAAAACAGCATTTGGTCATTAATATGTAAGAGGTGAGAGCGTGAGAAGAAAGCATTTGGTAAACAGACGCGGTATTTTCTGTTGTCTATAGATTGGCAACCATTTATAAGCTAATTTAATCAAAACCATTTCCACATGATCTCATCAGTAGACTATCTGAACATAAATATTGTTGTTTCACTTTAAAATGTCACTTTTGTGGTGACCTTTGAATCCTGTGTGCCATCTGCTAATAAACATGTCTGAAGACGTGCAACCCTGGACCTTCAGCTCTTGTTAATGTATTAATCTTCCAGACAAGCCCAGCATCTGGGAGAGAAAGCGGACAATAACCAGACACACCCGGGCTCCATCGCTCAGGACTGCAAGAAATCAAAGTCGGTCATCTAGCAGCTCCCAGAACCACGGCTGCCACCACATCCTTATAAACCTGTCAGCACGCATGAGGGTGTCTGTGTTCAAGGAAATGAATGACTAATACCATTATTTGAGTCTTATGTGAAGACAACACTATTCTAACACAAGAGATAATATACATAGTACTGTTTATTCAACTGGGGAAAAATAAAACTTCGAGCATTTCCCTCGGAACTTGAGATCAGATCATAACTCACTTGCCCGGAGGCAGGAGAAATCTGATCCTGCTACTGGCGCTTGAAATAACAATTAATGAAAAGTGTTAGAAACAGAGGTAAAAATTTTAAATGATTAATAGAGAAATTGGGTTTGGTTCCGTTGTTATGATTGTTTTGTCGTGGAGCTTGTGTTCAGTTATATTCTCTCTCTCTCTCTCTCTCTCTCTTGTTTTAAATAATGCTTGACGATTCAAAGATTAACCAATGATGTGCTGTGGAATGTGATGGTCGTTGTCTTCATATAGAGTCACACCGTTTCTCTTTTTATGCGGATATTTATAATCTTCATCCTGTATCAATACGAATGACTTTGAGGTGCACGCCTCAAAGATGTATGCAAACAAACAAAGTTTAAATCAGGTCAGATATTTTATTTACCATATGAAATCGTGTTAGGAACAACTAGTTTCAATATACTCCAGGAATTAAAAAACAAAAACCAGAAAAAAAACAGTTGTGGGTTTTGAGCTCCATAATACTATTAGCCACTAAGGAGGCGTCTTGCCTCCACTGACCATTTCTCCAGATTCCACGTTCCGTTGTGGAAGTCGCACCCACCCTCATCCGTGTGTCATAGCCACTCACTGTTTGCATCGAGAGCGTTTTTAATAACTGCCTCTGGACTTGGGACAGTGAGTAGGATCAAAATAAATAATGTACATGGCGGGGAAGGGAAAGCCTGTCGGAGGAGCCGTAAGAGTCTTGCCAGCTTGTAGCCAGCCACACTCTGGACCAGCATGTTGGAATCCAGCGTGTACCGAATGCAGTAAAAAAATTGGTCGGTTTCTGTGTGAAGTGTTGTCATTGTTGTTCTTTCGTTCCCTGGCTCTCATCTCTTAAACATCACCTCGGTGAGACCCATCCCAAAGGCCGCCACCCAGCCCAGTCATCCTGCGCCACGGTGTCTTTAGAGGGTGTCCGGCTCCTGCGCCACCAGCTGTATCTGTGAAACTGCAGAGCGGCCTCCTGGGTGACGAGGAGCCGGGTTCCTGACCAGCCAACGTCATCTCATTGTTCAGCCTTTCTCCTTATTGATTCACAGACGTTGTGCAATGAGAAAACACTATATGGCCTAACTGCTCGACCCAACGTGACAATAGGAATATGATTATGTAAGATTTCATAAGCAAAACCACCACAAATCATGATCTGGCTGACTCACACGCGACTGGAGGATAAACAAACAGCAACATAAGGAAATAACTCGAAGGTTGTTTTTAATGATTCCCATGTGGGGAAGTCTGCCAGTGTTGGGAGGGCCGGTGCCCTCGGAGGAAATAGGTTTCGTTACATAAAGCTGGGTCCTGGTGGAGATCAGCGCATTTGTAAAGTTGGGGTTCACAAGGTAAGCCAAGCTGAACGATACGTCCTGCTGCCTCGCGCCAGGGTGCGGAGAGCCCTGAATCATTGCCTTCGAAGGGGACAGGCTGTTTCTTCTGCTCTGCCTTTTACCACCTGAGGCTTAGGCCCTCAGCCGGGTGGGGAACAGGCCCGTACGCAGCACCACTTCGGGCAGGGGCTTTAAAGTGGATCTTCAGTTTACCAAACACAATAAACACGGGCTACCTCCTGCAGCCCACGGTCAGAACAACACCAAGGCCGTCAGGGCTGTAGGGGAGTGATGAGCCCAGGGAACAAACGAGCTAATCAGTTCTCACAACCCAAATATCTGAAACATTTAACTCTTGAGCTCTCTGACGTGAGCCATCCTCATGGCTGAGGTATCCCTGACACAGCAGAGCCGTGGTGGTAGGCGCGGGAGAGGTACGTTCGCAGAGGACCTCAAGTTTAGTGGGGGGATATTTATTTCAAAATTCCGTCCCACCTACCTGCCTGAAGAGCCCGGGAAAGCCTCCAGATGTTTGGCCCAGAACCGCAGCCCTGCCTGGGAACCCTTTGGGTTTTCTTTGGGTTAGATTAGCAATGCAAATGTTGGGTGGCCTGCAGCCCCCTGCAGGAACCCGCTAGGATGCTCCGAGCTCCTTCCAAAGCGCAGTGTTATAGATCATTGGAGGGAAAGCCATTAAGTAGATTTATTGAAAGAATGTTTCTTCGGCACAAGGAGATCTTTTTGATGAAAAATGGAACTCATTATTCTTTAAAGGACACAGATTGACTTATCTCCTTTATCAATTACAGTGTCTGCTTTCAGCTTTTCTCAATCAGCGACGGGCTTTGTAGTCACTTCCCAGCGCGGAGGCCAATGTGCTTTATGAAAAAGGTTTGTTTTTACATTTTAATTGGAAATATAATATTGCACTTTGGAACTCTGACCATCCCTTTCCAGCACAACTTGCCAAAGGTCGATGGTGAGACACCACCAATGAGGCTGTGACAAGGGTATTATTCCTCCCCTTCCTGGGGTGATGTATCTGGGTTCTTCTGGTATTCTTCTCCCCAGCAGACATTCTCTGCAGTGAGTTCTGTTGTTGCTGTTGATAGCTTCAACCAAATTCCTGCACCACAAAATAAAAATAGATGAATGAAAAACTTAATGTATTATACAGAAGTTTTCAGAACTCCTAGTGACCTTGCAGATGTGGTCCAGACCAATTGGTTGGTGTTTATTCCCACTGCAGGTGAGTTATCACTGCAGCTACCTGGTGTGTTCTGTACCTTTTCATGTCCAAAGGCTACTTGTCATCATTGTGGCCAAGGATGATAGAAAACCTACCAGTTTTGGGTGTCTGGGTGACTCGACTTTGGATCAGGTCATGATCCCACAGTTGATGGGTTCGTGTCCAAGTCGGGCTCTCTGGTGTCAGTGTGGAGCCTGCTTTGGATATTCTGTTCCCCTCTCTCTGTCCTTCCCCCACTTGTGCATGCTCTCTCTCTCTCTCTCTCTCAAAAAAAAATAAACATTTAAAAAATTTAAGAAAGAAAGAAAGAAAGAAAGAAAGAAAGAAAGAAAGAAGAAAGAAAGAAAGAAAGAAAGAAAGAAAGAAGAAAGAAAGAAAGAAAGAAAGAAAGAAAGAAAGAAAGAAAGAAAAAGAAAGGAAGAAAACCTAACAGTTTTGCACACAGAGCTAAGAAGTCATTAGTGGCAAAATCATATATGAATTTGTCTTCGAGTTTCCCCTAACTTACCCCACTGTGATACAGGTACGATAAATGTATAAATGTATAAATGATACATTGAATACATGCAAAAATGGATAAATGAATAAGGTACCAAAGGGATAGATAAGCCTGTTAAAGAAAGAAATTTTAAATCTCACTGCTTAACATGACACAGAGCTAGTCACTCGTGATAATATATGGCATTCCCATTGATAATATTATAGTACCTTCAGCCCCAGAGGGACTGTGGCATTTCTTTCCCTTTTTTAATATTTTTATTTTTTTAATGTTTATTTATTTTGAGAGAGAGAGAGCACGAGCCAGGGAGGAGCAGAGAGAGAGAGGGAGAGAGAGAATCCCAAGTAGGCCCCATGCTGCCAGCGCAGAGACTAATGCGGGGCTCCATCTGCTGAACCATGAGATCGTGACCTGAGCCAAAATCAAGATTCTGATGCTTAACAGACTGAGCCACCCAGGTGCCCTGACTGTGGCATTTCTTAATCCAAAGCGTGGTGAGTCCACAAAATCCCTCATTTCAGAGGACTTTGGACCCATGGAGACCCACTATCCTGCCCCCCCCTTCCCATTTCTGCATTTATATCCCTTCCCTAAACTAGCAGATTTAATTCCAATCCCCACTCCCAGATATGTTCCTGCATTTCCATAATCACAGATACTTGTCTTATGAGGAGGGACCTTGTAATATATGGTTCAAAGCAAAGACTTTCCTAGATTCGGTCAAACCCACTGTCTGTTTCTGACAGACAGCACCTGCGTTCAGTCTCACCTTTGCCAAGACTCAGGTAAAAATCATCTCACTGAGGAAGCTCTCCTCTGTGCTCTAACCTCTTAACATAACTAAAAGCTCCTTTGGAGTCCCAGCGCGCTCTGATGTATGCTGGGAATGCAGAAAATAAATAAACAAATGAAACTACTTCCCCCTAAAGGACCCACATTCTAGCTGGAGGGAAAGACTGACAAGGAAATGAGCACAGAGCGGGGAGCATTTTGTTCTCACAACCATCACACTGGAGCTAGTTGCTCACCTGCTTGTCCCCGACGGTCACTCACTCCTTCCCGTGCTCATCTCACATGCTTTGGGCAGCGTGCTGTATTCAGGTGACACTGTCAAAAAGCTATCGTCTGCTTTCACTCTAGTAGCGTATCTTATCTCACCTCCACCTCCCACGGCCACTGACAGCCCCACCCTCAGCCCCACCCCCAGCCTCAAATATGCATACACAGATGAAGAAGCTTTTTAAGTCCCCCTGCACTTAGGAGGCAGACCGCCTGAATTGACTCCTCATCGTGTCTCCTGGCCTGGTAGGACTGCCCACTTTAATATGTAAATATTTATTGAATAGAGGAATGACCCTAAAAACCCTGCCATGATGGATTTGTCAGTCTAACTGGATCAGCAGTACCCTGGATGCATGGACAGAGAAGTCTGGCCTATTAGCTGGATTCTCCTGCCTGGGAGGAAACTTCTAGTTCCACTTCTGTTAATGTGTGGCCTCGTTGAAGTCATTTAACGTCTCCAAGTTTCAGCTTTTCATCCAAAGCAATAGGGGTGAGAATATGCAAGAGTCTGTGGCCTATTTTTTTTAAGTTTATTTCTTTATTTTGGGAGAGACAGAGACAGCGCAAGTGGGGGAGGGGGAGGGGCAGAGAGAGGGGGAGAGAGAGAATCCCAAGCAGTCTCCACACTGCCAGTGCAGAGTCCGATGTGGGGCTCAAACCCACAAAGCCACAAGATCATGACCAGAGCCGAATCGATGGGTCGGATGCTTAACCAACTGAGCCACACGGGTGCCTCTGGACAATTTTTTAAAGTGCACAAGTTGTGAAAGTAAATACAGTCCTTCAATCAGAGTCAGTGGGTATTACAGAAAGAGCTGTGGCCTCGGAGTCAAGCATCTAGAGATCTGGTTCAGCCACAGATATGACACTGGCAAGGGATTTAGACTTCCTGAGCCTCAGTTTCCACATCTATAAAATGATGTCCCCTAAGACATTACAGCTCTAAATTTATATTACTATTCATACCTCTATTACTAGTGGTATGCTTATATTCAAATTTGGTGTCTAATGTGTGGATTTTTTATCAAACGTCTGTAAGCAAAATACCACTCAGTCAATTTGAATGATTTGAATCAATCTGTTGCTTGTACGTTATAGAAACCTACTCAAACCAGCAATGGGAAACTTGTTTTAAAGGTACAGGGGTGTTTCACAGAACCTAAGGGCAGAAATGCAGACACAAACTGGAGCCAGGAAGTAGAAACTGTGGGGAAACCAGGAAGTGCTCTTTCTCCCTGTCTCTCAATTCCCCTCCTCTCTCTGAATGTCTGAATCATCTCTCCTCACATTAGCTCCTGCTTCTCAAGTACACATATCAGAGAACATGGCTATCAATAGAACCCAAGTTTACAGCCATCTGATGAAACAATGAATCTCTCTTTTGATTTCATTCCTCAAATCATAGGAAGGAACCCATGACTGCACCACCTTGAACCAGGTGTTCACCTCTGACCCACAATGTACAAATATGGCTGCCCTTCTTTACCCTTATGGAGAGGGTAAGGTGGTCATCGGAGAAGAATCACTGTTTAGTGAGACAAACTAAGGTATCTGCCTTGACTACTTCCCAGGGGGCAAGGCTCGTTATAATCATGTGCTAGTTCTGACTTTCAATGTAAACAATGAAGCTTAAGTAACTAACTGTCTCCCAAATGTCATAGATTGGTCTCAGGTTTGTGAAGGTTGTGCTGTTTTGTTTGGTTTTGTTTAATCCTTTCGTGTCTTCAGTTTCAAGGGTCTGATAAACCACAAAGCTGTCCTGAATGAGTCATAAAACTACCTAGGAGAAAAAGTAAAAAGTTTCCAGGGATCCCAATTAGTATATTTTTAAAAGCCTCCTTTCCTTCAGCACACATAACAAGAAATTTCGGCAGTAGATTGGTCAACCGTCCTCAGGGATTTCTATAAAACCAGAAGACCAGAGGCCATTTCCCAGTTTTTGTTATCCTGAGAGGATTTTAACTATAAAGGAATTTCTGATTTTTACAATGGAGGTGGGTAGAGATGGAAACAATCTTGGTCTGATTTTCTTTCAAACTTTACTCATAAATTTTCAAGGGAGCCCAAAGAAGAGAGATTTGGTTAGTTAAGTGAGTGGAAGGAGGCAGAAAATAGGGTCAGAAATTTGAATTCAAGAGTGAAGTAGGTGAGAAAGCCATGCTGCATTGGAAAAGAATAAGGAAATGGGAAGTTCTGGAGAAGACATTTGTGACCAAAACAGACTATTTTCCCTGCAGGTAAGTCTTTAAATGCCCGCCCCTTTGCCTGAGGAATGAGCAGTCAAAATCTCCTGTTTCCCCTTGAACCTGCCCCTAAATCTTCTACATGAGTAGTAATTTTCCAGAATGGTGTTTAGTCACTGGTCCTTCCTCATCCTCTGAATGAAGAGGAAGGAACTAGGTCTCTCACCAACTCAAGATGATTACCGAGCTACAGGAAAAGCCCAGGCCTATGAACTCCAAGGAGAATTTGGCTCATTGGTTATCCCTGGTATTAGAAAAGGTCAGAACCTCTGTTTTTGCTTGGAACCAGAGTCACTTCCACGGTCATCACAACATAATGTGCAACAGTTGTTTGAGGGCTCAGGTACATGACAGCCACTGCCTCTGTCTTAGAAGAGACCACTAGCCTGAACAGGTCTGACTAAACGTATCTTGCCTTCTGGTTTCTAACCTTAACCAAATTCCAACCTATTAATCAATTAGCAGATATGGAGTTAGTCTTGTGGGGAACCAACTGAAGCTTAAAAGTTCTCTACCTTCAAAGAGCTTCCAGTCCAATTGGGAAGATGAGATACTGAGAGAAAAATGCAAGAAAACAGATACAGACACACTTCATTAGGAACTGGTTTCAGCTTCTGCTGCTCCCACAATGCTTATAGGAAGCATCGTGAGGAAATTCAGGCTAACAACCCAGATTTCAATATTATAAAGAATGTCTACCTTGGATTCCTGCTCCCTTTGGTCTGGTGATCTGGGCTGGCCAACCTATAACGAAGGTGATGTGGGAATCCATTTGGTATGTTTCTTTTTCTGTGGTGAATCCTTGAGATAGATGAGGCTTTATGAGCTACCATCCCCCCTACAACCACTACCTTCACCACCAACAACCTTCCTAACTACTGATTTATAATCTTGAGCCACATGTTACCAAGAAAGGAGTGCTGGGTTTGATTAAGAATCAGGATTCGGGGATCAGACTGCCTACACTCAACTCTTGGCTTTTCCACTAACTCCTTATATATATTTAGGTAAGTTACCTTAACTTTTCCAAGCCTCACCTTCTTCAGCTATAAAGGATGACAGTGTTGTTACGTGGACCAAATAGATTAATTTCATGAATCAATACATGTAAAGTGTTTTGAGCTATATGTGGCACAGAAAAAGTACTCAATAAACATGAGTTATTATTGACCAAGAGCCAATCAATGAATGAATCAGTAATTATTGATCAACTCCTGCATGCCAGACACTATGAGTGCTGAGAAGAGAAAGAGGCCAAGATGAACAAGGCATGGCCCTGTTTTGCATCATGAGATTTTGGTTTCTTAAAGACAGCTATAAAACATGCACACAAAGAAATGTTACCCTAGAATGAATAGCCTCAGAGACCTGGGGCTAGGAGCATCTACAGGACGCCCTATGGACTACTCAGACAATAGGATCACCTTTGAGATGTCTTCTCTACAAAGTCAGATATGTGTCTCCTAACGCCTCTTGGGACTTGTTGGTGAGAATGACCTACAGGTCAGAGAATGATTTCTGACAAAGAGATTACACATTCCCCACACACCTCATGATGCACCTCTTTCTCTAGACTCCTCAGGGAACCAGGAGAAGATGGCGGAAGAAGTCTACCAGTGACCTAGAAAGGTACACACAGCCCCAGAAGTCAGGGAAACCAAGGCTGGTAAGTTGACTTTGAAATGTTAGACCAAACCTGGGCTTGGCTTCTGTTGGTTTAAGTTTCTGGAAGGTAAGGAGAAAAAAACTGTCAATAACCCTGTCCCTCCTGGCCAGTATGGGAAAAGCAGCTTATTCCTTCTGTTCTATCTGGTTATAAGTATACCAGCACTACCATGGTCCTTTTATATCTTTTCTTCGTATATCACCCGAGAAAGAGAAGAGGCACAGGAAGTCTCATATGGTGGATACTAAAAGTTATTTACAATGGAGTTGAGGTAATAAGGGTCTGAATGAGGGCAGTAGCAGTAGGGAGGGAGAACAGGAAGCATAAAGAAGGTAGATTCAATAGGCTTTAATCACCAAATGGATGGAAGGGGAAAGGGGAGGAGTTTCATCCAGGCTGACTCCAGGGCCCTGGCCTAGGAAACTGGGTAAATGGCAGTAATGTTCACTAAAATAGGGAATACAGGAAAAGAGCAAGTTGTTAATGAAGTCAGTCCTAGACTTGTTGAGTCTCATATGCCTGCAGGACACCCAGAGAAAGATCTTCAACTGGTAACTGAAAATGTACCAAACATCAGGAGAGACATTTAAGTGGAAGAGATGTTTCTGAAGAATAAGCATATGGGTGGTAATTAGTGGTATGTAAATTAACAAGATCCTCCAGAGAGAGCCTGTAGAATAAGAGCAAAGGTCAAGGCAAAGCCTTGGGAAGTAGAAGTAGGCTGAGACAGAAGAGCTCATCCAGAAGTCTGAGAAAGAATGGAAGTCACAAGAAAAGGATGGCCAGGGGAGAATGGGATGGGCAAAAGTATCGGTTGCCACAGCGAGGAAGTGAGGGAGCAGGAACAGACAGCAAAAAGCCCTTAAGATCTGGCATCAGGAGGTCACGGGTGACCTTGGACAGACTGGGTCAGGGAGGAAGAGAAGGAGGACGCAGGAAGGGCAGCCTCATTTTCCTTTTGAAGGGCTAGACAGCTTCTCAAGCAAAAGCCTGAGTCTATTGTCTTCTGAATACTTCGCATACTATTACACTTGATACAAGGACAGTAAATTGGTACATCTTTTCTAGAGAACAATTTGGCAATGTGTATCCAATACTTAGTGAAGAAAGAATGCTGTTGTCAGCAATCTCCGCCCACTCGCCATGCAGAGATGGTGTCTGCTTGGGCATTGTCAGTGCAGTAAAAGGAGGCAGTACCAATGGGAGCTTGCAAACTAGTAGGTCTCATTCAGATCAGTGTGATCTCCAGTGACCTGTCACTAGGGAGTGTGCTGGCTACCTCTGAAGATAGAGCAACTGCCACTGGGCTTTGGGTGCCCAGCCTGTAGATGCTGCCCCACAGAGGTGCTCCCTGTCGGAAGCTCCTCCCCACCTTGGCAGTAAGTTGTCTGTTGTTCTGGTAGGCTCGTGGTCTTCGCTCTGCCTGCTTTTGTTTGCCTTCTGAGGATAGGGCTTCTGCTTCAAAGGAAGAGCCAGGAAGCAGAGGGCATTGGTTTGATCTTCATTGGTAGTTGGCCTTGTGTGGGGTTCCTTGGTAAGAGCTGTAGAGGGGACCAAGGTTGTGAAGATGGAGGTGGGTGGGCACAGTCTGGGATATGTTGTCTTATGTGGAAAGGCTATATAATTAGGTGTTAGTGGTGAATTAAAG